AACTAATACCAATACTCTTCAATTTATTTCAGGAAATATAAAAAAAAGGCAGCACTTCCAATCTCATTCTATGAGGCCAATATCACCCTGATCCCCAAACCAGGCAAAGTCACATCAAAGAAAAAAAAAAAAAAAAACTTAAAACCAATATCTCTAATAAACATAGATGCAAAACTTCTCAATAAAATTCTGGCAAATCATATACAAAAACATATCAAAAAGATTGTGCACCATGATCAAGTGTGATTCATCCCAGAAATTCAAGGTTCCTTCAACATACAGAAATCAATAAATGTAATTCATCAAATCAATAGATGAGGGCATGATCTAACATGTGGGGCATTTTGCATCAGAAAGGAAGAAATATAACTTGATGTAGGGCATGCAACATGTAGGGCATGTTGCATAAACCTAACTTGCTGACTGCTACCCACTTCCAGGTCGTGGGGTCACTCCTGGGGCACGTGTGGCTAAGATAGCACCTGGCCATCAGCCAGAAAGCATTACTGTGGGTTGTGATGAAAAATCACACCTCTAGGATAGGCTCAGAACCCTTCCACCCTAGTGGACAGCTTGTGTCACCCATTACTGCCTGTAGGATGAGTGTACACATGAACTCTCCCCACCCTGCTGACCTTTATGCTGATTGGCTCCTGTACATTATATTAGCTGTGTGTGTTTTCTCATTAAAGGAGATCCTGCTTGGACTACTCTCCCTGAGGTGTCTGATTGTCCTCTGGTGCGGGAGGGCTGGGTGAAGGGCAGTCAGTGGGCCCTCTCCTTTCTTGGCTCATCCTGGTCAGGGCATACTCTCCCCATCTCTCCTGAGGTTAGGAGGGAATGATACTAAAAACCGCGACAAATAGACTTAAAGATAAGAATCATATGACCATCTCAATAGATGCAGAAAAAGCATTTGACAAAATACAGCACCACTTTATGTTCAAAACACTAGGAAAAAAAAAGTAGAAATAACAGGAACATATCTCAACTTTGTAAATGCTATCTGCACTAAGCCTCAGGCCAACATCATTCTAAATGAAGAAAAATTGAATGCATTCCCACTAAAAACTGGAACGAAAATGCCCTTTTTCATAGTCCTTTCTTGGCTCATCCTGGTCGGGGCATGCTCTTCCCATCTCTCCCGTAGGTCAGAAGGGAACGAGGGCTAAAATCCCTGACAAATAGACTTAAAGACAAGAGCCATATGACCATCTCAATGTTCTTTATGTTCAAAACACTAGGGAAAAAAAAAACTAGAAATAACAGGAACATATCTAAACATAGTAAAACCTATCTACACTAAGCCTCAGGCCAACATCATTCTAAATGGAGAAAAATTGAAGGCATTCCTGTTAAAAACTGGAACAAAACAAGAATGCCCTATTTCACCACTTCTATTCAAGATAGTTCTTGAAACCCTGGCCAGAGCAATTAGACAGATGAAAGAAATCAGAGGGATATGTATAGGAAAAGAAGAACTTAATTAGCTCTATTTGCTGATGATATGATTCTATGCCTAGAAGACTCAAAAAGCTTCACCAGAGGACTTCTAGAACTAGTAAATGAATTCAGCAAAGTAGCAGGATATAAAATAAACACCCATAAATCAAAGGCATTTCTGTATAACAGTGATGAATCCTCTAGAAAGGAAATGAGAAAAACTACCCCATTCACAATAACCTCTAAATAAATAAATAAATGAACAAACAAACAAATAAATAAATAAATAAAGATACTTGGGAATCAACTTAACAAAAGAGGTGAAAGATTTATACAATGAAAACTACAGAACCCTAAAGAGAGAAATCAAAGAAGACCTCAGAAGATACAAACATCTAACTTGCTCTTGGATAGGCAGAATTAATATTATCAAAATGACCATACTACCAAAACCACTATAAAGATATAATGCAATTCCCATCAAAATCCCCAAGGCATTCCTCATACAAATAGAAAAAGCAATCATGAAATTCATCTGGAAAAATAAGAGATGCAGAATAGCTAAAACAATCCTTAGACTGAAGCAGGTGGCATCACTCTACCAGACCTTAAACTATACTACAGAGAAATAGTAACAAAAACAGCATGGTGTTGGCACCAAAACAGACTGGTAGACCAAAGAGACAAAATAGATGACACAGAGACTAACCCAGAAAATTACAGTTTTCTTATATTAGATAAAGGTGCCAAAAACATGCACTGGAGAAAAAAGCATCTTCAACAAATTGTGCTGGGAAAACTGGAAATTCATAAGCAACAAAATAAAATGAAACCGCTAGGTCTCACCATGCACAAAGCTCAAATCAAAATGGACCAAGGATCTAGGAATTAAACCAGAGACTCTGCATCTAATAGAAGAAAAAGTAGTCTGTAATAATCATCATGTGGGATTAGGGCCCAACCTTCTTAATAAGACTCCTATAGCACAAGAATTAAAACCAAGAATCAATAAATGGAATGGAATCAACCTAAAAAGTTTCTTCTCAGCAAAAGAAACAATCTGTGAGGTGAACAGAAAGCTTACACCCTGGGAGCAAACTTTTACCCTTCACACATCACACAGAGCACTAATCTCTATTGTATATAAATAACTCAAAAAGCTAAACAACAAAAAAATAAATAAATAAATACATAAATACATAAATACATAAATAACCAGATCAACAAATGGGCCAAGGAACTGAACAGATACTTCTCAGAAGAGGATATACAATCAATCAACAAATACATGAAAGAAATGCTTATCATCTCTAACAATCAGAGAAATGCAAATCAAAACTTCTCTAATATATCATCTCACTCCAGTCAGAATGACAGCTATTATGAAGACAAACAGCAATAAGTGTTTGTGAGGATGCGGGGGAAAAGGCACACTCATACATTCCTGGTGGGACTGCAAATTGGTGCAGCCAATTTGGAAAGCAGTGTGAAAATTCCTTGGAAATCTGGGAATGAAACCACCATTTGACCCAGCAATCCCTCTCCTCGGACTATACCCAAAGGACTGAAAAACACCATATTACAGGGACACAGCCACATCAATGTTTATAGAAGCACAATTCACAATAGCTAAACTGTGGAGGCAACCTAGATGCCCTTCAGTAGATGAATGGATAAAAAAAGAAAAAAAAAATGTGGCATATATACACAATGGAATTCTATGCAGCAATAAAAGAGAATAAAATCATGGCATCTGCAAGTAAATAGATGGCATTGGAGAAGATAATGATAAGTGAAGTTAGTCAATCCCCAAAAAACAAATGCTGAATGTTTTCTCTGATATAAGGAAGCTGACTCATAGTGGGGTAGAGAGGGGGAGCATGGAAGGATTAGATGAATTCTAGATAGGGAGGGGGTAGAGGGAAAGGGAGGGGACAGGGGATTAGCAAGGATGGTGGAATGTGATGGACATCATTATACAAAGTACATGTATAAGGACATGAAATGGGTGTCAAAATTCTTAATATACAGAGATATGAATAATTCTGGTATATATGTGTAATAAGAGTCGTAATGCATTCTGCTTCGATTTCTTTATCCAAAATAAATAAATGAATGAATCAATCAATAAATAGATAAATAGCAAGCAGACGGGTTTTCCAAGATATAAATCCTTTTATGTCTTTGAATAAAACTGTCAAAATTAAGTACTGCAAAACATTGCTTATCCACAGGATTTTCTTTCTTTTTTAATATTTATTTTTAGTTTTCGGCGGACACAACATCTTTGTTTGTATGTGGTGCTGAGGATTGAACCCGGGTTGCATGCATGCCAGGCGAGTGCGCTACCACTTGAGCCACATCCCCAGCCCTCCACAGGATTTTCTAAAGTTTTTTTTTTGTTTGTTTGTTTGTTTGTTTTTAATACAACTGAACAAAACTAAAACAAGTGAACCCTTTGTATTTCTTACTTGCATAGGATTTATTCATTTTGGCAGGAATCTTTCCAAAATAATCTTTCTAGTACTCAGAATAAACTGCAAAAATTAAAAGATTTCCCACATTTTTCACAGTCACAGGGCTTCTCTCCACGAGTATTTTCATAAAAGAGAAGAAAAATAGGTCTGGAACATGAAGCTGATAAACTGTAGCAAATCGCCCCCATTCAGAGTGTTTGTTTTCCAGCGAGTGAAATGGTTTTGAAGACAACATATTTTTTCACATTCAAACAGTTGTGGTGATGTATGCCTTTAATCCCAGAGACCGGGAGGCTGAGGCTGAAGGATCACAAGTTTGAGGCCAGCCTCAGCATTTTAGGAAGACCCTAAGGAACTCAGCAAGTCCCTGTCTCAAAATTAAAAATATAAAAAAAGAATGAGCATGTGTCTCAGTGGTAGAGTGCCACCAGACCAAAACTCCAGTACAATCCCCAGTACAGTATTCAGCAGAGTGAGCCTTTTTTTGTGTTTGAAGGTGACAAGAAATATTGATTCACCACATTTCACATTTAAAGAATTTTTCTCCAGTATACTTCCAACTTGTTGATGAGAAGAACAGTGATAACAGAAGACTTTGATAATTGTTTTCATCAGCACAATTTCTTTGCAATATGAGTTTGTTCATGTAAGTGAAGCTGATGGGATATAAGAAAGGTTTTTCCCCATTGTTGACATTCATAGGGCTTCTCTCCAGTATGAGTTCGTTCATGTGAGCAAAGATGAGAGGACTGAGTGAAAGCTATGTGATACTGCTTACATTCATAGGGTTTCTCTTGAGTGTGAGTCCCTTCATGTCTGTGAAGGAAAAAGGAAGAAATGAAGACTTTTCCACATTGTTGGTATTCATTAGGTTTCTCTTCTGCATGAATTCTTCCATGTATGTGAGGTTCACTGGATGTGTCAAGGCGTTCTCCACATTGTTGATATTCATAAGGCTTCTCTCCAATATGCTTTTTTTCATGTCTGTGAAGATGATGGGATTGAGCGAAGGCTTTGCCACACTGCTTACATTCATAGGGCTTCTCTCCAGTATGTGTTCTTCCATGTCTCTTAAGGTGACTGGATTTAGCAAAGGCTTTTCCACATTGTTGACATTCAGAGGGCTTCTCCCCAGTATGAGTTTGTTGATGTTGGTGAAGCTGAGAAGATTCAGCAAAGGCTTTTCCACACTGCATACACTCATAGGGCTTCACTCCAGAATGTGTTTGTTCATGTATGTGAAGGTAAAAGGCAGTAGTGTAGACTTTACCACATTGTTGACATTGATAGGGCTTCTCTCCTCTCTGAGTCCATTCATGTCTGCAGAGGGAAAAAGAAGTAGTGAAGACTTTTCCACATTGTTGACATTCATTGGGCTTCTCTCCAATATGGATTTGTTCATGTATCTGAAGGTAAGACAAAGTAGTGCAGGCTTTCCCACATTGTTGACATTCATAGGGTTTCTTTTTTGTATGAGTTTTTTTTTATGTGAGTGAAGGCTAGAGGACTGAGTAAAAGCTTTGCCACACTGCTTACATTCATAGGGCTTCTCCCCAGTATGAGTCTGCTCATGTATCTGAAGGTAGGAAGAAGTACTGAAGGCTTTCCCACATTGTTGACATGCATAGGGCTTCTCTCCTGTATGAGTTTTTTCATGTGAGTGAAGGTTAGAGGACTGAGCAAAGGCTTTGCCACACTGCTTACATTCATAGGGCTTCTCTCCAGTATGTGTTCGTTCATGTCTGTGAAGGGAAAAAGAAGTAGTGAAGACTTTTCCACATTGTTGGCATTCATTGGGATTCTCTCCATTATGGATTTGTTCATGTATCTGAAGGTAAGATGAAGTAGTGTAGGCTTTTCCACATTGTTGACATTCATAGGGTTTCTCTCTAGTATGTTTCCTCTGATGTATTCTAAATAAACTTCGGTAAGCAAAGTCTGTCCCACATACGTTACATTTAAAAAGTACTTTTCCAGTGTGTGTGATCATGTGACTGTGAAGACTTGTGGGTGAAACCAAGGTTTTACCACCTTCTTTACATTCATGGGATTTCTCTCCAGAATGAGTTCTTTCATGTTTTCTATATAAAGTGGGGGAATGAAAGGCTTTCCCACATACCTCACATTGAAAAGGTTTACATCCACTATGTGTTCTTGTGTGTCTTTGAACACCTGTGGGAGAAGAGACTTCATCACATTGTTGACATTCATCAGGTTGCCACCCAGTATGAGAATCTTCATGCCTTTGAATGTCATTGGAACAACTGATGACTTTCCCACATACTGTATTTTCATAGGGTCCATCTCCAGTTTGTGTTAACATTTGTGTGTGAACACTTTTGAGAGAAACCAGAGATTCCCTGTATTGTTTCAATTCACATGGCTTCTCTTCTCATTCTTCATGCTTGTAGCGTTCGTGTCCATACTGAGATGTGATCTGCCTATGAAGGAATGAAGGGCATATGAAGTCTTTGGCACACATAATGCAGTCACATGAATTTACTCTATTAAAATTTTTCTTTGCTTAAGAATTGGAGTCTCATTGAAACTTTCCCCACACTGTTCTTTGCCTTTGAAGTTTAGCATATGACTTCTTTGAAGAATGACCAGCACATTAATAATACTTGATTAATTCATGATGTTGTATTTATTTAAGGTCCTAGGCTAATGTTACTACCAACATGAGGTAAAGCCTAGGTTATTCAAACTTGTTCAAATTGCCAGAACAAAAAGATTGAGAGGAAACAATGCTTTGCAATACAGCATGCCTATGGTTATTATCCAAATAGTGATATTCACATATGCAATTTCATAATACTTTCTGCAAGTCAAGCACTTTGAAAAGACTGAATATCTTTTACAGTTAAATTATATAATTTATTTCAGTTGTCAATAGACTTTATTGATTTAAATGTGGTGCTGAGAAGAGAACCCAGTGCCTCAAGCATGCTCTACCACTGAGCCACAACCCCAGTCCCAGTGAAGTATATATTTCTGGTAAAAAATCTTATAAGAATAAATACATTTAAAGTTGTGCAAATTTCTTGCATTGGTTTTAAAAATTATATGGCATTCTCAGATTCCCTCAAGGATTCCTCTTGTGAGTACAATTACCTTACATTGCTTCCAGAATGTTTGATCTGATCTTCAAAGTTCTTCTCATCACATTTATTTCCTAAAATGTCAAACCACATCATTTAAAATTTTTAAGAGCTAGAAATGATTTTTCAAATCCTAGGTGAATTTTATGCTACAATAATTCACCAACTGATTGTGTTTTCATGTTCTACATGAATAAAAAAAAATAACACAAATTCTCTAATTAAATAAATACACAAATTATTACCTATAGATGCCAGGTTTCTGAGGACTTCCAGCATCACATCTCTGTAAAGGTTCTTCTGGGAAGCATCCAGCAAAGCCCACTCCTCCTGCATGAAGTTCACAGCCACATCCTCAAAGGTCACTGAGATCTAAAATATCCCACAAATGTGTAGTGGTGGCCAGGAGAGATTTGACAGCATGAGAAATGTATACTCAACATGCATGATGTTCACATGATTCCCTGGCCTCCCGATTAATTCCATGATTTGGTCATTGAAATCTTCAGTGCATTTAATACTTCACAGTCACTCCAACAGTAGAATTGGGCCGCACACAAGGTAAATACTAGAGTGTTGTACACCCTTCCTGTGGTGAGTTCACAGGAAGTAAGAGGGGCTCCTGAGTCACCCTTATCTTATTTGTTGATTGTATCTCCTTCTTACCAACATCCTGTGCAGTAGAGAGCTAATATTAGCACTCTCCATATTACTTACCCTTAGAAAAGAAAGCTGATTGAGTAGGAAATTGCTGGGATCACAAAACTCAGCATTTGAGAGATCCTACCAACCACAGTGGCTCATTGGGCCTACACAGTTAATATAGACAACATGGTATTTACTGATCTCCTGTTTCCTTCTGAAAGTCAATTGTTCCATCCTTAAAGAAGTGCCTAGAATCAGCCCCAACTCACACCCTCAGAGTATGGAGTCACTAAAGAGTTTCCCTCATAGACAACAGTTAGACAATCTTCCAGGTGCTTTACTCCCGAACAAATTTACCCAATTAGTAATCAAGCACATTGGTTAATAAAGACAACAATATAATAATTTCTGGTGGTTAATGTCAAAGCAGAATGGGGTGTGTGGAAAGATGGCATGTGTCCCTGAAAGAACTCGATGACCCCAAGATGTCACCTTGTCCAAACAACAGCCTTACAAAACTATATTGGTTTGAAAAATAGTTTTCTTAACATACAGCAGAAAATCCTTTCCCAAAGCTCATGGCAACCATGAATGTCCAATGATTGTCAAATTCTTCTGAACAGCAGATGTCTCACTCAGATAATGTACAGTCATGAGACACACACCACCGTTCTGCTCAAGGACACTTTGATAAAGATAGGCCACATGTACAATGGTGGTCTGTCATCAAAGAGATTCCTCATTCCTATAACACAGCTGGTGCAAGGAAACCTCAGGTACAAGCACTTCCAGGGTGTGTTAAAGCAGCAGGTTTGCAGCCCAGAATCCTGAACTATCCCACGCTGACTGCTTGTGAAACAGGTCACTCCACTTGGGTCTCTAAGCAGGCTATGATTTCTGCACAGTGTGGAACAGCCAAAAGGACCACCTAACAGACCATGACCCTGCCACTCACAAAGAACCATGCTCAAGGACTTAAGACACATGACATTTGAAGCAGGACAATATCAACAGAGGTTGGTAGGAGCCCAAGAGAAAGCCTTTAGTGGGCTGTTCTTCATAGCATGGAAAAAGTATGAGTGACAGCAGGTGTCTTGGAGACAGATCACAATGATGGTCCAGGCAAACTGAAATCTAAGTGGCAAAGGGTACTTCATCCGTCTGTTTTACAGACAAACATTGTTTATTATACCTTTAACCATGAAAGGCTAAAACATATTTCAAAAATTTTAAAAATATATAATTACTACCCACGCCCCCCCAAAAAAAGGAAAGGCAAGACATCTCAAACAGGATTCCATGAGACACTTAAGATCTGCCACCAATTTTCTACTGTTATTTCCAGACAACAGAAATTGAGTTAAAACTTCCTAATTCTTTTTTTTTTTATATTTATTTTTTTAGTTGTAGTTGAACACAATAGCTTTATCCTATTTATTTATGTGGTGCTGAGGATTGAACCCAGGACCTTGTACATGATAGGGAAGTTCTCTACCACTGAGCCACAACCCCAGCCCACATTCTAATTCTTTATATGGCATATTTTACCATATTATCAAAATTAATTACATAAAGAAAAGTATTAAATAGAAAACTATGAAAGACTCTCATGATCATGAATGCAAAATTCCTCATCAAACAACTTTATTGAATCCAAAAATAAATAAAAAGAATTATAACCACAGCCAAGAGGAAATTATTACAGCTCTGTAAGACTGATTCCAAATTTAAAACTCAGTTAACATTATCCACGGACCAGCATACTACTGTGGAAAGTCAAGCCCAGTGGCCCAGATCCACTCACATTGGCCTCTGTAGGGCCCAGGAACACAGCACACATGCAAGGCTGATTCAGAATTAAAAAACCAATTAACATTAACATCACAACAAAAAGCTAAATAATAAATATGAAGCTGGGCATGGAGGCCATGCCTGTGATCCTTGCCAATCAGGGAAACTTAGCAAGACTCTGCTTCTAAACAAAAAATTAAAAGTTTTGGGAATGTACCTCAATGGTAGAACAGCCCTGAGTCCAACACCCAGCACCAAAATAAAAAGAAAAACAAACACACATCACTTATACAGCATTAATAAAAGAGAAATCTCATATATAAATCTAACAAAAATCTGTATGACAAAAACTGCTAAATTCTAATAAAAATATCAGAGACAAGGAAAATATATGGAGATACTTTATGTTCACAGGTGGGAAGCCTCAGTGTTACCATCAATTCTTACCAATTTCATTCATGGATTCAATATAATCCCAATAAAAATTTTTTTAAGTTATGTTTTCAGCATCAAAAGATCCAGAACAACCAACACAGTAATGAACACTCAATTCACAGGATGAACACTACCTGAGGTTAACAACTACTAAACATCTACAATCATCAAGACACAGTAGTTTTTGGCACAGTATAAAAATATTCCACTGATCTTTGACAAAGGAGCAAAGGAAAATCAATGGAAAATATACTCTTTTGGACATTGTTGCCAAAGCACTTGGACATTAATTAACATACAGAGAAACAAAACATTCTCATTTCACAAATGTCACAGAGCTCTCAGTGGAGCCTTAGTCTCAAAGTAGGACACACAGCTGGGGCTGCAGCTCTAGCAAAGCACCTGCTTGGCACATAGGAGGCCCAGGGTTCACTTGTCGCCACCAAAAAAATTGCCTGTACATTGTAGTACCTAATGCAAAATTTCAAACTTCACTAAAATAACAAAGAAGTACTTACAGAGAAATCTGGGCTGGCATGACAGCTTCATATGCAACATCAAACACATGATCTGTGAGTGAAAAACTTGTAAATAGAACTTGATCAAAATGAAGTTTCTGTTTTTCAAAAGATGCACTTGAGAGAATGAGAAGAAGACATGCTGGAGAACTGGACAAAATGTTGTCAAAACACATAGTGACACTTGGTTGGTATTCAACGTACATGAAGAATACTCAGTAAAAAAATAAGCAACCAACTCGAAAGTGGGAAAAAGATTTGGAAAGACACTCATTCAATAAATAGGCACAGTTAATGTGTGAGAAGATGTTCACCAGCATATAATTAGGAAACTTCAAAATGAACATGAGGTGCCACCAGATACTCACTGGAGTGGTGAAATGCCAAACACCAAAAGCTCCAAAAGACGGTGAAAACATGAATCAGCAAGAACCCTTCCCTTGCTCATGTGAATGGAAAGAAGAACACTCTCTCTGGAAGATAGTCACACTCTTACAAAATAAACATGGTGCTCTCTACAATTAATTCACCACACTCCCAGTTGTCTATGCAAATGAGGTGAAAATTATGCACAGAAAACTTCTCAGCAGTGACTACAGCAGCCATATCCAGAACTGCCCAAAGCTAGAAGCAAGGAAGATGCACCTTTCAATGCTGAATGGACAAGCTGCAGTTTAACCACACCAAAGAACATCACCCAGAAAATGAGGTCTGCAGCCTGGAAAGACACAGCACCCTTAAATACAGACTGGTAAGTGAGAGAAGCCAGTCTGAAAGGCCTAGTGCAGTAAGATTCCAAGTCAAGAACATTCTGGAAAAGACAACATTATTGATGCACTGAAACTCTTCTGTATGACATTATTATGTAGAGTGTGTGACACACAAAACACACCACACAGAGGAGGAACCCCAAGATAAAGGATGGATTTCAGCTGAGGATAAGGTGTTGCTTCATCCACTCTGTTAATAAAATGTAGGACACTGAGTCAGTAACTAACAAGCATCCAACATCAATGCAAAATGTGGAGAAATGGTGTTTGATAATATGTGTAATGACTCATTTGAATTGTCAACCCCATTGGATTAAGAGATACCTGTGATTAAGAGGCCTCTGGGTGTGTCCATGAGGGTGTGTCTACAAATGATTTGCATATGGGATAGCAAACCAAACTGGAGAACCTCCTTAGGTATAGGCAGCACCATCCAATAGGACAGTGTCTTGGATGGAACAAAAGTTGGAAGAAGAAGAAAGTAGCAGCAGAGTAAGCCCCTTTCTTCTCCAATGGCTTCTGCAATGGCCTGAGGACATCAGACTCTGCCTTCTTCACTCTCCCAAAGTGGACTGTGCCAGTGATTCTCCAGGAGGTTCCAGAACCTTTGGTTTGGACTAGGGCAGCACCATTGATCCCTCTTGTTCTGAGGCTTCAGCCTCTTGGACTCTGCAGCTACTACTTCTCAAGCTTTCCAGCTGCAGACTGCCACTGTGGACATCCAGCTTTGGGTCAGGTAGGCCAATCTAATAAGCCCCCATTTATAGTCATATTTCCTCTTGATGCTGCTCCTCTAGAGAACACTGACTAACAAACTATGTAACTTAAAATTGCTCTGAAAAACAAAATCAATTTAATAAGGAAGTGAATGAACCACGATGCCATAAACTTTAACAAATATAAACATAAGAAAAAATAGTACATAATGAATACCTTTCCCAAATAATAATGTAAAAAATAAAGCAAAGAAGAAGAGTCATAGTTACAAATTTCAAAACTATGAACAAAAGCAAAGAAACTTATTTTCAATACTATTTCCATCTGGAAAGAAATTGGATGATAAGTCCTCAAAAGTCATTCCAACTGCTGGTGTGATGGTGTGCACCTGTAATTTTAGCCACTAGGGAGGTCAAGGCAGGGAAACGGCAAGTTGGAGGCTCTCTCAGGAATTTAGCAAGACACCCAGAAATTTTGTGATTCTTGGCCTACATCA